TTCCATGCGCTCATCCACCCCATCCTTACAATGTGTGTCCTTTCTGTCGTCAAGGACAGCCTCATTCTTGAGCTTTTCCCTGTGTTTAACACCTTCCCCTTCACTCTGCCTCTCTCACAGCGCGCAAGTGGGCTGTTATGGCATACGGGGATGGGGGCAGCTCGCGCTCAACTTCATCAACGTGGCGAGCCTTGCACGTGAGAGGCACAGTGGAGGTGGAGTTCAAAGAAGAATGAGAAATTTAATGGTTTCAATCTGCCCTTGTTTTTTCTTTTTCTTTTTCTTTTTATTTTTGCATGTTATCACTGTGCCCGTTTTTTGCTTTTATTCTTTGTTCCGCAAAGTGCGCTCTTTTAGTTCGTAGTTATGTGACAATATATATATAATTGCAATGTTTGACTTTTGGCTTACGGTCATATCAGAATTCCGCACGGAATCGAAGATTTAAAAGAAAATAACAGAGTCACACTAAGGCACCCCCCTGTAGAACCGTTTAGCCCCTTTAAAACCAACTTATAGAGCCTGGATTTGGGGTCCTCTCAGAAAGTGCGGAAAACCCACGATTTGAGTGTTGACAGCCAACGCTCAGAGAAAGAAAAGAGCCCGGATTTGGGATCCTCTCCGAGAGCCTGGATTTGTTCTTGGGACTGCATAACACATCACTGCTGGAGGGTGGTGGTGATTTTGTGTACACCACGTATCTGTTGTTGAATTCTCGGGGATATATCGTTACCAGCCTGTTTGTTGTTGCGACTGCATAACGTATCAATATATGGAACAGACTCGGCTCGAGGGTGGTGGTGATTTTGTGCACACCACGCGTCTGTTCTTTGTGGCTGCGTGAACTCTCTTTTTTATCTTCTAGCCTCAAAAAAAACATATCCGCAAGCTTCTGTCTTCATCCAGTGTTTTCGAATTTAAATAATAATGTTCAGTTTTGTGAACGTGTTTTTGGTAAACGTTCTTCTAGTTGAGTATTTGGAGCAATGGTCACCAATGAAAGTGGTATACTCATTGTCATGTCAGACGAGTAATCTCTGACGAGTCTGACCGTATTACTTTTCTTTATGCGTGAATGTCATAACCTTATTGCCAGACTGTTTGTTGTTGCAACTGCAGAATGCATAAATGTATGGAATAGAGTCAATAGACTTCTTGAGGTTATGGGTGGTGATTTTGTGTGCACACAGCATGCCTGTTGGCTGTGACTCGGTGGCTGTTTGAACTCTCAGATGGCACTACCGGCCTGTTTGTTATTGTTGTTGCGAGTACTGCAGATTGCATCTCTTGCAGCCACAAGTTTCCAGACTTACACTTCTCACCCTCTACATCAAGCACAATGATAAGGTTATGGGTGATAACTTGATAAGTGGCGTTCACAATGATACGGCTTTCCCAATGATAAGAAGAGAGGGTAGTCTTGTGAAGGGAAGTGGTGTTTGACTGATGACATAAGTGTAGCGCTAGAAGGAGAGTCCGGAGTTCCCAAAACTGAAAGGTTGCTTGTCGACTGCTGCAGGTGTGAAACACTGAGGCAGGCATTGCGGACGGCCAGGGCACTGCACGAAGGCGATGAATTGGCAGTCAAGGATCTGTAAGTTGCCAGTTTCCTCTGCGCGCACTTTTTCTTCCCTTTCCAGCGATACGTAATTCTGCTATATGTCCTTTTTTTCCCCTTTATTTCTTCAACAAAAGCAGAACCACACGGTTCTGGCGCCATTCCATTCTGCGGAGCATCAGTCCGGTTCCTATTCCATCGGCAATTCAAGGAGCATATATGATTTTACTCACTCACTCTCCTCCCCATCATGGCTGGGAGGCCTGAGTAGACGGCGCTGATTACTTCCCAGAGGAAGGATGTACCACCCCTCGCCCCTGCCTCAGTTAGCCGCATTGTGTAGTCCCGGAATCAAAAGGCGACTAAAACCCTAAACCCTGCTTGGGACTCCACTGCATTACTCCTTACGCACTCGAAAGTGACTGGTGTCATTACTTTCTGCCCATTTGCAACTTGGCGTGCTGCTAATCTCCTATGTAGAACACCGGCAACCCTCACTTCCCTGAACTCCGGTCCATCGCCTATACACAGTGGTTCCCCGAGAGACCCCTGGGAAAGCGGTGCCCTGTCTTCTGTGCGACCCTTTTTGTACCGGCAAATGGAGGAGACGGGCTCTCAGCTAGATGCCAAGGAACGATATGGATCCCTGGGGTCCCCTCCGAAGACTACTTCTACTTGCTGCCGGTTCAATCTGAGGCCAGGTAAGCCTCCCAAATGGAAGACCCACTCTATTCGGGTGAAGACGGAAGGTTCAATTAACATTTCGGAAATTAGAAGGGAAAACAAAAGCAAGAGAGATCACCCGACTTGGACATCTGTCATCCCCCTTGAGGATATCCACCCTCCCGCTTCTCGTCATCTCGCCCCCTTGTCCTTGTGATTCTCCACCTCCTCCTCTCCTGTTCGTCCACCTTGTCCAAGTTCATGCTTTGAAGTTCAGGATGCACCTGTCACCCAGCCTCCATCTAAGTTCACCTGCTTCGAAGTTCAAGGCGCACCCATCACCCATCCTCCATCCAAGTTCACCCATCCAAGAAAGCTTCAAAGTTCAAGTAACCCATGAGAGATAGAGAGAGAGAGAGAGGAGAGGGGGAGAGAGAGAGTACATCTGTCACCCATCCTCCATCCAACATTGCGCCGGGCCGGCGAAATTTTCGAGATTGAAGTAAGCAAGGAGAGAGAGAGAGAGGCACCCATCACCCCTGCTCCTCTGGCCACCATCGACTAACTCTGATCTGCCGAAGTTGAGAGAGAGAGAGAGAGAGAGAGAGAGATTGACCTGCTGGCTGGCTGCTTGCTCCTTGCCTGCTGGGCGGCGGCTGGCTGCCAATCCTTCCTAGCTGGGCACCTGTTGCTTCCTCGCATGGCTCTCGCCTTCATCGCTGGTTGGCCTTTCGCTCTCCTCGCTGGCTCACTCTCACATTTGTCGAAGGATGGCACAGGGTGGTGGCGGTAGTGGCAGCGGGAACTCCCAAACGGGCATCGGTAATGGCCGCGAATTCGGCCGATTCCAACTTGCGCCCCCCTCCCACCCGCCACCGTGCTTCCAATGGTGAAGGACAGGTCCGAGTCCGTCCTACAGTGTCTGGTAGCACTGAGAAGGGCCGAAAAATAGCCCGAGTATTTTTGAGGGGCCATCCAGGACCCGAAAAACGTCCCGAGCGGGCCCCTTTTTTTTTTTGATTTGTCGTGTGTGTGGGGGGGTATTTCTGGATGTCCAGAACCGGACACCGGACCTGTGCAGAATTTTCCAGACTGTCCGCACACCGGTCCGGACGTCCGGTCGGTTACCATGCTTTTTTCCCTTTGCGAACGCAAAACCTGCCACTTTTCACAGTATAAGATGAAATCATGAAAGGATATATGTGTGTATCTTGTGCCTTGTACCATGCAACGGCGTTGCACCTGTGGTTCAGCTGCCCTGGTTCGGTTGTTGTCCAACTGTGCTGGTCCGGTTGTTCTGCAAGCGTGCTGTTTCAGTTGTTGTTCAACTGTGCTAGTTCAGCTGTGGTTAAATTATTATGCTGGTTCAGTTGTGGTTCTAGCTTCAGCTGTTGTGGTTCCAACTGCCAGTTCGTTCAACTGTGCTGGTTCAGCTGTGGTCCAACTTTGCTGGTCCAGCTGTGGTTCAACTATGCTGGTCCAGATGTGGCTGCTGATCATCAGTTGTGGTTCAACTGTGCTGCTGGTTAGTGCTGTGGTTCAACTGTG